GGAATTTTCATTTATATTATTAGCAATCCAGCATGTTTTTGTCAAACTGCAGTTATTAAATGATTTCTGCTAGTAAATTTTAGTCAATAAAGTGTCTTCCGAACCTTATTTCAGACAATACCAGTAGAACTACCTGCATTCTAGTGGATTCTGGCTGAGACACAAAAGCTACGTATGACCATTTGGACCTCCCAAAAAAAATTCTTCAAATGACACGATAGTTTTGAACGCTCTGATTGAAAGGGGTGGGGAAGAGACTCATACTATTTTTCGTATGTAGCTCATAACTTTAGAGAATCCATAAGTTCGGGAAGGTGGGATAGTTTGATGAAAGAGATGAAGCAAACACAACTGACCGTGGTGGCCTGAAGCAGTAGGCAACGGTGGAAAGTACCGAAGCAAGAAGGCAAATCCTAAGAAGCATTTTGTGGTCGAATGTGTGATGCTGACATACGCTTACACTGTCCAGCTTATATAGGGCACCGGTAAGTCGGTCAAGGCTAGTTTTTCATGTCAATCGTCATCGCTTTAATTATGCCGCAGGATTATTAGTTGGTGTTACGAGATGACTGCTTTCTTTCCTCACAAACGAGCTGCTGCATGCACATTTCACCCGTTTGCATCACACTTCTCTTCGAATAGATGACTTTAAAGTTTCGAAAAATGGTCCCTAGCCGGGGATGCCGCCAGCTCGTTCTTGTTTTCTTTCTCTTTCATAAATAATGAATATCACTCACTCCTCTTCCTTTCTTCTGTGATAAGGACTATTGTTGGAAGTCGCTAATACAGCTATCACTGGTGAAGGTAGCCGCTATCCAGTGCTATCACTAGCTAGTTCCTTCTTCCTTAGACTCATTTCATTTAAAGCTTAAAGCGGAAATTTGTGATTTAAAAGTTTTAGAACCGCTTTCAGCTTTGTTCCTAAGCAAATCTTTCAAAAGAACCAGTGACAGCTTACCAGAAGGTGGTTTGTCGTTGGTAAAGCACCCCGGGTATTTAAGTTACCTCAAGAAATGGAAAAAATGCATTGTTTATTGCCGCTCAGTTTGGAAAATAATACGGAGTAATGACAAAGTTGTTGTCGAATGAATCCCTCACTCCCAGTACTACAAATTGCCTTTACCCAATCCGGCCCAGTTTTAATAGGTGCCAGTTACTCGGCTCAGTCGTATCGGGAGACGACTTACAATAACTGGGGAGCTTTGGTACGGGAAGCGGACAGGAGAAAGGGGAAGAAGGTAGGTGAGGTCGGGAGTAGTAGTCTAAGTCTCGAGGGGTATATAATAGGAGAACAGAAGGGGGAGGGGCGGATTATTAACTGCAAAGACCCTGGCTGGAGGTAGGAAATAGGAAGCAGACTCAATTTTTGAGGACAGACCCTTTGGGTTTATTATATTCAGCAAGAAATTTGCTGCTGAGCAATGGTCGTAACGATACTTAGAATCATATGTAGACGAAAAAAGCTGGTACCACGATTCCCGTTATACAAATCCGAACCCAATCCCAATACCGACGCACGAGGCCTGCCGGTGTAATAGTACGCTGAAGCAGTCTGATCGTTAACAGTATGAACAGTAGTTGCCTTACAGTTTAACATGTGTTTCCGCGTTAGTTGCGTTCTGGTCTCTCCGTGCAGGAGGAAAAGAACGAAATGCAGGGGGAAAAAGAAGAGCGGTTGAGACGGTAATGTTGCGCTACAAGGTCGTGTGAAATGTTAACCTTTGGCATGCATAATTACGGTTAATTTATTCGATGACCTGCAGTTCATCAAAAATGCAGATTGGACAATGAACAGGATGTCGCGACAGAAGGGTGTGCGAAGTCCATAAAATGCAGTCGCTTTTTGAGCCTCGCGGTAAAATTGAGTGTTTTTCATGTCAGCCTGCAGAGAAATTCGCTCCAAGCCAAATTTAGCCACATGT